AAAATAATTATAAATAAAACTTATTATACAAATTGTACTATATATAATTAATTAGTTTTAAATGTAATTTTATTAATTATTAAATGTCTGATAATGATATTTTGCCTGATAAACGATTTATTATAGTCATTGTTAATTATAAAAAATCACGGGATACCGGATAAAATGATTTTTCCTTTTAATTATTAATGATTTAAAAAAAAAAATTATTACTTTTAATTAATTCCAATTGGAATAAATTAAGAATCTATAAAATATTAAATCTATACCTTAATGATCATGAATATTTAAAAATTATAAAAAATATAGATACTTTAATAATTGATGAAATTTAAATGGTAAATTTATATTGTGCATTGATGTTATTCTGGTTATCTGTCAATAGAATGTCTTTCTAAATCCATTTCAATCTTTCATCACTTTTACAATAAATAAATAATTCTGCTTACAGAGCGGTAATTTGATCCGTAAATCATCCGTGTTTGTTAATTTTGAAACATAATTTCGGTCAGGTTGTCATTTGCAAAATGCCTCCTGGCCTTATAAGAAATTTTATATATACGATGGGTAATGATAACTCTTTTTTTTTTTTTTTAGAAATAAAAAAAATAGTATACGAGCTTGGTGAAATATTATACCCTTCAACGTTAATAACAAAAATAGATTATTATGAATTGATTGATGTGTCATTCGACAATGGAGTATCTACTTATTAATAAATAATAACGCGATGAAAAATATTCATGGGTTTTAAAGGAATATTATGCCATGCCATGTAAGATTCATGCAGATCATCCTTATGTTTCAAAAGAATTCACATGATCAGGTAAAAATGGTCCCTTACAAATATAAAACTAATTAAACTTTTTTTTAAAATAATAAAAAAAAAATTAGAGTTGAGCTGTCTTCATTTTAGTCAATACGGAAGAACAGAGGTGTGAAAAAAAATTTAGTAGTGATAATCCTTTACCTATGTGCAGTGATATGCACTTAGAAGATTGGAAGCATCCTTGGAAGCACTTTTGGAAGGGTTGGAAGCATAATTCTCCAATAAATTCATTTGGATTGGAAGCTTCCAATCAAATTTTATACTATTGGAAGCATCTAGAGAGAATAAGTAACAAGATTTTTTATGGATTTGAAAGTTAGATGATTTATGGGAAATATTACAAGTTAGCTTACTTCAACTAAGATGGTCATTGGGGTACCTTTGGAATTAATTTTAAGGCAAATTGTTATTTATTTTTTAAGTTCCACTATTGTTCTTTTTTTGAAGAAAATAAAAATTATAAGTTTTAGGTATACGACATCATTTTTCACTTGAATTATGTATTAATAGCAATACTAACCTGGTTAGGCCATGCCGGGTCACTTTTTCAAATTTTAACAAAAAAAAATTTATAAATTAAAAGTTTATATGTGAACTATAAAGTGTAATTTTATTGGTAGATTAAAGCTATCATAATGTATAATTCCTTTCTTACAACTTATTAGTTTCATGCAGCTTCCCAAGCAATACATTGTGCTGAAACTTTTCTCCAACTAATGTTTTTGATGGGTTAAACTTCACTTCAAAATCTGCTTCCCACCAGTCAGGTGATAAATATAGAATCGATATATTTCCAAAAAAAAAATCTTTTATTTTTGGTTCTTTACCAACAGGTAAACCTTCCAACCTTTAGAATTGTAACTTATTTTTACATGTATAATAGGCATTCGGAGTTATTTTGAAATGAAATGTGATTGTCGTATAATAGGAGGCCGGGCAAAGAAAATTTAGATAAAATTATAAAATTGACACGGTCACCTGGTTTATTTTTTTTTTTCAATACAAAAATAAATTACACAAATAAAGATAAATCTTCTTTCGACGACAAAATCTGATATTCCGATTTTATTATGTAAGGTCACATGATATAAATTTTAGTATAAAAAAAATTTTTTCGTAAACTGACACCCTTTAATATTGACCAATCAGATGGCATATTATTAATCATTAATAAACTCCGGGTCGATTTTAAAATTTCAATGTTACGTGAACCGAAAAATCGAAGTTGCATGGCCTTATATAAAGTTGATCATATAGGAGTAACAAATACTTTTTAGTAAAAGGAAAATTTTGAGAATTCGATTGTATTGTATAAAATGTTACTGGTTTGGTTTGATGTGTTGTAATTGGAACTTTAATATACAGTGCATTTTTTGAATGACATTTAATCTCCTTCCCACTCAAAATAAATTTATCGCGGCATGAAATTAATTAAATTGGGGAGTCTTTTATTTGTATTTTGGTATTTGTTTGATTGTCGCATAATATAACATATATAACTTTTAAAATCTAAAAAAATAATTATCTTATCAAAAAAAATTATTAATTGAAAATTATTGAACCGTCTGTCAAAAACGCAAAAAAAAAGCCGTTAGTCTTATAATAAGTTAATTCACCATCGAACATTGGCATATAACCCCGTAAAAAATTTCCCGATGTAATTAAATATATTGGAATTAACAGTATATTCACGAAATCGTTATTTTATCTTAATTTCTAAATCATAATTCATAATATTGGAATGGATTCTT